CCATAACCAGCAATGAATTGTACAATTGAATATAAACGAAAACGAAACAGATGATAAAAAAACTCATGAACATTAAAAGAGACATTCAACATGATAAAAAGAATTAAATGATTTTTTTTCCCTCTGCGATCGCAATTCAAGCGTAAAACACGCACGCATGCACTACTGCCTCGCATGACAGATATGAGATTCGTGTTAAAAAAAAAAAAAAAAATATATGTAGAGAGAGAGAGAGAGAGAGAGAGAGAGAGAGAGAGAGAGAGAGAGAGAGAGAGAGAGAGAGAGAGAGAGAGAGAGAGAGAGAGATTATGTTTTTGTGTGTGTGTTTTGAGCGAAGGCGTTAAGCATTTCGAAATGTAATTATAATTCATGGTCTTGAAGTCACCGACAAGGGCATAATTATCCTTTCATCTTTGTCTGTTGTCATCCAGTACTATCAAGGAATCTCGCACCGGAAATACCATTGCAACAAGTTGAATTCATCTAAATTGTAATTAGTTATTGATTGAATTATGCAATTAGTATATTGAGCCATTTATTAATGTACCTGTCCATTCACGTGCTTGAATGGAGATTTCAGATGATTTACTCACACATACACACATAAATACACACACAGTGATACTGCAACCATATGTGCAAACACACACACACACGTACACACAGATCCCCCATTCATGATCCATTTCACACGATCTTCACATCCCCCTCGATATTCACCCTCCCCTCCTTCCCTCCTTCAGCGTCAGCCATGTGTAGCACCAAGGAGGTCAGCCCGGAGGAGGAGAGCTCTGACGTCACCGCTACGCCCGAGGGAACCGAACAAACGCACCCGGCCATGAACGGCAACGCGGAGGATTTGAGCATGCAAGCTTACACGAACATTCACGCCGAAGCGATCCCCCAGGCTGACGCAAAGCGGCAGTTCAGCGCTGGTTCGCACGACGCCAGGGAGTTTGCTTGCGAAGTCAGCTGCACGATGAAGACCTGCGTGCGAGAGAAGCCGTCCGCCACTGCCGTCGACGTTGGGGGCGACGGGATGGATGCCGGTGGCAACGGCGCCCCTAAGAAAAAGAGGTGAGGAGTTGTAGTTTTTTATTATTATTATCGTTAGTTTCATTTTAAATTATTGTTTGTTATTTTCTTTATATTTTCTTTCTTCCTTTCTTGGGGAAGGGAGGGTGGGCTCAAATGTTTATGTGTTATATCTGCATGTATGTTTAAATGTCATTATCAGAACATTCACTCATAAGGTGATACGAAATCATGATGTATCAAAATCCCTGTCTGTATTTGCAACTACAATACTAATAAAAAATCAACGCGCGGCAATGCCCAAATGAGCGCCACTGGTTTTCCCGCTGCGCCCCAAATGCCCCGACACACACGGGTCCTTAGGGAATACTCAGAGGCCCCTTTGCTCTTTGCTTTACTCTTCCTCATGGCGTATCAGACAATACTCAAGAGACCCCTTTGCCTCCAGGTCCGCCCTCACGAGGCTCAGCGCGTACGTGACGAACGGGATGGAAGGCGCCTTCGAGAGACACGGGCGCCGGGTTGCCGCAAACGCCCACACCACGGCCGCCCTCTGCATGGTGTTCTCCGCCCTCTGTTCCCTCGGCAGTTTCTACTTCGTGACTGAACTTCGGCCGTACAGCCTGTGGCTTCCGCAGGACTCCGAGTTCATCAAGGTAAGGCCAAGGATATCGTGATGGGACGACGGAAGAATAAAACCATATATAGTGTGTGTGTGAGCGTGTGTGTGTGTCGTGGTTGCAGAAATAGATGTATACATGTGTACCTTGTATCATTATCATTAACAGTTCCTCTGCGTCCTTCCCAGGTCCTGAACTGGCAAAGCAAGAACTTCCCGAACACGTACCGCCGCCATGTAGCCTTCTGGGAGGCCGACAACATCCTAACGGCACGAGCGATCCAGGAGATGTGGCGCCTCCACGTCCGCGTCGCCGACATCGCCGTGGGCCCCAACGCCACGTCGTGGGATAACTTGTGCGCGCGCGTCCCCTCCCTCCCGACGCAGGTGGAGTCCCTGGAGGAGGACTACGCGGACTACGAGTACGGGGTGCTCACGCGTCGACGCCGAGATAACGGCCACTTCCTGGACTACGACATGAGCCTGAGCATGTCGCGCGAGGACTACTGCGCCACGATGGACAGCTTGCCGAAGGTCTGCCTCGAAACGAGCCTCCTGGAGGTGTGGGGGCTGGACGAGGAGCGCATCCTGAACCTCACCGACGAGCAGGTCCTGGAGGACATCAACTCCAAGCAGATTAGCGAGGTGTTCGGCTACGGCGTCAACTTCACCAAGTACCTGGGCAGCATCTCGTACGACGAGGAAGGCAGGGTCGTCTCCGCGGGCGGCGCCATCCACGTGTGGGTGACCACCGTCGACCACGAGGCCGTGGACCGTGGCAACATCGTAGTGGACCAAGGGAATGGCGAGCTGGTGGACGTCAACGGCTTCGCCTGGGAGGACAGGTGGGTCAAAACGGTCCTGAACGACTCCTCGCGGCCGAAGGACATCCGCGCCTTCGCCCAGTCCGCCAGCAGCTTCGGCAAAGTGAGCGACGAGAACATCTGGGGCGACGTGAAGTGGCTCGTGCTGGGCTTCTCTCTGATGTGCATGTTCGTCAACATGACTCTCGGCCGGAGGAACCTCGTGCAGCAAAGGCCAATGCTGGCCTTCATGGGCATGGTGAGCGTCGCGCAAGCCATAGCAGTGTCCTATGGGCTGTGTTCGTTGATGGGTATTCCTTACTGCCCTGTGAATTCCATCCTGCCCATCCTTCTCATAGGACTCGGTGTGGACGACATGTTCGTCATCATGGCGGCGTGGGAGTCGGTGGGTCGGAAGAAGGGCGTCACGACGCTGACGGAGCGCGCGGGCGTCGCCATGCGTCACGCCGGAGTCGCCATCACGGTCACTTCTCTCACCGACGTCACCGCTTTCGCCGTGGGAGCTACGACTGACCTGCCTGCCCTTCGCTCCTTCTGCATTTATGCTGCTGTGGGGATATTTGCTGTATATATCCTTCAGTCTACGTTCTTCTTGGCTTGGCTGGTACGAGACGAGAGGAGGATGGAAGAGAACAAAAATGGATTCTTTTGGTGCATCACTCACAAGGACTGGAAACCCTGGGCATGCAGCAAGCGCGACCTGCTCGGAGACGTATTCAAGCACGGCTTCTGCCCCTTTATTCTCTCGGCCCCCATGAGGGCCATCATCCTCCTCGGCACGGGCGCCCTCGTGGCTTCCTCTATCTGGTCGACTATGAACTTGCGCAAAGAATTCAACGCCAAGTGGTTCATCCCCAAGACCTCCTACCTGCACGAAACCTTTGAAATTGCCGAAAAACACTTTCCGGATGCTGGTCAAGCCGGGTATTTGTACTTTGCTAATGTCTCCTTGCCAGAAGATCTCCCGGCACTCAACGAAATGATAAAAGACCTCGAGGATACTGAAGTGATACAGTCTATCGACCCTTGGTTCTCAGCTCTCGACCGATACATAGCTCAGAAACCAGAGCTAACCAACTCGACTCTAGATTATGCTCTGCTACAAGACACGCTCTCGATTTTCCTCCAGTCCTCTTCAGGGGCCTCGTACAGGAGGGACTTTAAGGTAGACGGGAATCTAGACTGCCGTGCTCCTGCGCCACCGGTCACGTCCTTCAGGATATCTTTCATGCATCTTCCTACAGAGGGTTCCCAAGAAGAGTCCCATGCACTGCAGGCCGTCAAGTCAGTCATCGAATCAGTGCCAATCAAAGGCTTCAAGGCTGCGTGGGCACAAGCCTACAGTGTCTGGGAGACTAACGAGGTAGTAGGACACGAGCTGTGGAGGAATATGATACTGGCAGCGGCAGTGGTAGGTGTGGTTACACTCATCCTGCTGGCGTCCTTCTGGTCCGCAATGCTCGTGCTGGCGTGCGTGGCAGCCACCGTGGTCGGGGTTTCCGGTACAATGGCGATCTGGGGGCTGACGGTCGACACAGTGTCCTGCATTGCGTTGGTGTTGGCCATCGGGCTCAGCGTCGACTACGCAGCCCACATCTCCCACGCGTTCCTGGCGATCCGGGACGTCAAGGACAGGAAGGAAAGAGCGAGAGCTGCCCTCGAAGGAGTCGGCCCGGCTGTCTTACAAGGAGGCTTCTCCACGCTCTTGTCTTTCATCCTTCTTGCCGGATCGTCTTCTCACGTATTCATAACTTTCTTCAAGGTCTTCACAGCAGCGTCGGTCCTTGGTCTTTACTACGGCCTTGTGTTCCTCCCTGTAATCCTGTCGTTCGTCGGTCCTGAGCCTTACGCGGACAGGGAAGACGACGACTTCGTCCCGACGACTCAACCACAGCACGACATCGCTTATACAAATGATGCCTTTACTCCCGATCCCGACACAGAAAGCAAAATCGTTACACAGTTTTAATATCTGGAATACTGACCTATCGTGCGTTTGGTGAAAAATTTCTAAACTTAATCAGGACTGTGATAGTGTGTTTGGTAAAAGGATTTGCCACTGGAAAACTATGTACCACATTAAAGAGGCAGCAGCACACCAAATATATCTAAAGATAGATGGCAACCGTTTTTTCTTTTTTAAGAAAAAAAAATAAAAAAGGATATCAATGAGGTTATTAATTCTCATATATATATTTTTTATACATTTGTCACAATCAATTCTCTTAAAATGCTTTTGTAAATGAGGAGACGCAGCATTTTACACACTGTACATAATTTACATAGCACATGTACATACTGTACTTTGCTACCTCATCTTAACCTTCTCGTGGCGGAAAAAGAATACCAAATGTCACCACTTTTTGTATATATATTTTCAATATTGTTGCTTTTTCATCTATGTACCTACAATCTTGCAAAAGAAACTGATGTATCATAGTATCCTCTATATTCAAAGATGACACGTAAGTGAACTGTGTCAGCATTTATTATTATTATTTTCTTCATGTGGGTAGCTTTATCCTTTATATCTATCACTGCTTCTGTTACCTTATAAGGCAAGAGGCATTATGTAAATAGACAGAGGGCAAGTGCAATAAAGAAGAATCCGGAACAAAGGATATAGTTTATAAAGGATTATCTTTGATTTCGGAACTTTTATTTTTTTCCAGCGAGTGGAAATATGCTTTAATATTCATCTTGCCTTATATTAAGTATCTGTCTTATAAGAGTTTATATATTAAGTACTTTTTCTTCACTTCTTTTCATTTATTCTCCTAGTACCTGTGTTGAAACATATACTGTACCTGTAGTTATCAAAATCAATTGGATGACAAAAAAAGAAAGAATATCATGGTGCAGTATTGCTCATTATTATGGAATGTATGTAATTTTGTATAGTATAATGTCAATAAATTTTTTTTAAACAGTGCTTTCTTTTACATCAAATACCTTTAACCATTATTATGTCACTGCATGTATATATATAACTATAACTATCTATTTATATGATATACAGAAAACTTATATTTCCATACACACACACACACACACACACACACACACACACACACACACACACACACACACACACACACACACACACACACACACACACACACACACACACACACACACACACACACACACACGACCGTTCTTGTTCAACAGTAAATGATTGATTGTCATATTAATGCTCTTAATCAGATATTCACTGTATCTCCATGGATGATAAAAACTCACTAAAGTCCTTCAGATGACAAAGGAGTGAGATCAAGAAAAAACTACAAGCTCTTGTGTGACTAAATCATTATCTTAGAAGAGTGGAAAAATAGTTAGGCAACTAGCTACCAAGATTCAATGGATTGTAGTTAATGGTCACAAAGTAAAACAGATGTGCTAGACATCAAAGGTCATATAACACTATAGAAAGGTGTAATAGTGAACCAGGTAAAGAGGAGGGTATGGATAAGAAAGAAGACGTATTCCATTTCCTTTTCTTGCTCAGTGGCTACATTATGAGAGAGCAGACTTGATGGTGCATAAAAACAAGCAAAATAGCATGCACATGCACCTTCAATTAAGAGCTGAAGCACGGAAAAGATTGACACGGACAAGAAAAGAAAATGATACATATTATGCAGTAAAGAATTCGAAACTTGGGGAGTTTGCTTATCAGTGAAAAGGTAATCAATCGATGGAATCAATAAGCAAATAAATAAATGCTGGGAATATTCACTAAAATAGAGTTCTTAGAAACTCAAACTCTTCAAGTCGAGAATTGACATCAATTCCAGAAAGCTAGAAACAATAAATTATCTTACCACTTAAAAGAAGAAGACGAGGAAAAAAATAAATAAAAAATAAAGCATATCCCGTACTCATAAAAGGATAAATGGCTCTAACAATTCCATAATGAGTACTTGCAATTCACAGGAACCTCCATTTATCCCAGAGAGCTGGCGTGTGCACATGCGAGGGGGGATTGAGTGTGGCTGAATCATTACTTCATTTTTCTTCACATCACTGGAACCCTTCATTTAAAATCTGAGATAAAAAGTGCTCATTTTCCCCTGAGCACTTTCAATGTGCATATCTGTGTTAAAGAGTAAGCACTTACTTCACTGCAATAATAAACAAAAGCAAACATTTCAGAATTTATTATGAAAAAATGTTACATCATCATTCAGCAGATCAGCTGTGCAAATATTTGGTTCATGGGTAAAATTCCTTTATGCAAATCTTGCTGTGTTGTCCCTATCACACAAAAAAGAATAAAAAAATCACATAAAACCAAATTCATACCTAAATATAAATAGATGGAATATGAAAAGAACTACATTGAACTACTGAGTGACTCTTATTAAAGTACTGTCTGTGTTTCTTTAAGTATCACCTCCCTTTTATATAATGACCTCAAAAATGTTTTTTGTTAATTATTGAATCATATACACAATATAACACTGGGTATGTTCTGACTATATGGGTTTCCTATTGCAGCTATACTATATTCATTGACATAAGTTAAATGAAAACCAACTTGTCAGTATAGATTAAAACATCTTTGTACAAACTTATACAAACACATATGGTTTGTTTCATACAAAATTAAATGTAAAATTAGAACTATCATATCCTTAACAGTGCAGTCACATAACTCAGACACACATACACATGCACTTATACCCATGTGCTTGCATGTATGTTTGCATGTACACACACACAAAAAAAGACTTAATTTAGTTCATATTGCAGAAGTACGCATAACAATAACTTTACTGCATTCATCAAATCAACAAATTGCTTAAATGAATCGGCAGAGGACTATATAATAAACTCATAACTCTGAAATACTTAGCACTGTTTCCGGTCAAAATTGTTATATTCTCTAGATTTTCTCAGGCTGAAGAATCACCGTGGTTTGTATTGCATTATACCTGTACTAGTTGTTGACCTGTTGTATAATGAAACTAATGTATTTCACACAAACCACAATAAGACTTGCACAAAAAAATACGTTATAATTTCGACATTCAAGTATGGAGTAAAGGGTAGAAAACAAGGAAGAAAAAGAATAAAAAAATACATATGCCTACCTAATCCAATTCCTTATTATCACAGTCAATTTCACTACCATCTGTGACTCATTCATAAATACATTTTAGTGACCTCTTCCTGCAGATTGTCCAATGTGACAGTAGGCATTAAATCATTGTTTAAATTTTATGCAAGTTTGTACTCCTTTGTCTTTTAATGATTAACAATGAGTTCTAAATTATATATATATATATATATATATATATATATATATATATATATATATATATAAATATATGTAATATACATATATATAAATATATATACATATATATATATATACATTTATCTGTATATATGTATATATATACATATATATAACATATATATATATATGTGTATATGTATATACACACACACACACACACACACATATATATATATATATATATATATATATATATATATATATATATATATATATATATATATATTATAAATATTACTGATTATGAACATATTTTCAAAAACAATACTAAAAACATGAGCCAAAATAGTAATGAATGAATCCTTTTACTTGATTCTTTGCTTGAAGGAACTGTCACCTTAGTCTAAAATAATACTAACACACTGAATAACAAAATTCATAACTCATTCTAAATATGAAACGAGTTTTTTGTCCTATCCAGACAGACCTAAAAAAGTAAATTTAAGAGAATCAGCAAGTGTCAGAGTATGGGACGTAGAAAATATTTGGACCCGTCAACAGGTTATTCCAACATGATTGTCCCTCTGTAAGTTTTTAGCATGTACATCAAAATCATAATCAAATCTAATCTGCTCCTCTCAGGGTTGTTACATCTAATAATATGTGAATAATACTTTACAGCAGGTACTCTCTCATCAACATTGCCGCAAAAAGTAACATTTAGTGGTAAAATCCTTAGTGTGGTATGACATAATTCGTCAGATGAAGGAATCTAAACACAAGTCATCTTCTTTCTCACGTTTTTAAGAAATGTTGGTACCAAAATGTGTAATTCGGTCATCACATTTATGAAAAAAAAAAAAAAAAAAAAAAAAAAACTTTCAATACAAATCTGACAAAAAAATGGTATTGAACAGAGACTAAATAGCTAATAAAAAGCCAAAAAGATGAAAATTGATGAGTGATCATTTCTAAGTGTAAATGGTTAGTGCTTCTCACTGATTTCCTTACTTTACTAGCTATGATACTTTTACATAATTTTCACTCACTATACAGCATTCCTTTCCCACAGCTTTGGTTTAAAAAGGATGTAGCACTATTCTTCATTCTGCTCAATATTTTTCAGATGACTAAATAGAAAGATTCCTTAAATGGCATAGCTCTACTTCTGCCACATGATGCCATATTGCAAAAGTCAGTGCAATGGTACTCTCTCAAATCACTGCTGCAAATTATTCCACACTAAAGGATAGGCAATAAAAAGACATTATCATCTTCATCTCCTCTTTCTAATGAATTTCTTTGCCTCTTTCAACATTCTACTCGTGTTGTCCTCTTCTTCTGCATCCTCAATTGGGGAGTCTGAGTCTGAGTCCGTTGGGGCATAGTCATCTGAGCTCTCATCATTTAAGAAGGGGTCATCGTAGTCATATTCATCTTCTGAGTCATTTTCCCCAGCTGCCTTCTTTTTTTGTGCTGAAATAATAATGAATTTGTCAGGAATATTTCTATTAGCAAGTAGCTAATGATTAAAAATTTCTAGAATATGCTAAAAAATTGTTGTTTCTTTGAACAAAAGACTAGACAAATGATATAAAACATTACTTTAAATATCCTAAGCCAATATCGACAATTTGTAATCAACACTAATTAAGTTACCAAGAGCCTAAAAAAGTATATACATAAATACAAAACCAGTACATTTTTGTGTCTAACCTCTGTATTTAGCTCTTCTTTTAGGCTGTGGAACTCTGCTATGACGATATTCTTTGCGGTGCTTTTTATTTGTACGGTAACAATCAATTCCATGCTCGCACTGAGGTCGATCATCGTCTGGGTCTTCAGATTCTGATTCTTCTTCCTGATAATCTGAGTCTCCAACGTGAGCAAACTGTGCCTTGTGGCTAGGGTTCTTCCTGCAGGAAAAAAAAAAAAAAAAAAAAAAAAAAGACCATTCAATGGAAGGGGATAACGAAATCCAGGGTCTCTTTACATCTTGTCCAATAATTGAGATAAAAAGAAGGAATGGGGAAGAAAGTGGAGGGTTTGGCGGATCGAAGAGTGAGGAAGAACAAGAAAATCAGAGAAAGCAAGAGAGAATGGGGGAAGAAATACTGAATCATCAAAGCAGCCAAAATAGTTAAAACCATATAAGCTCTAAAGAATGGAGTGACAAGAGCAAATGTGTAAGCAAGACTGCATGTGATCAGGTCACTGTAACAAGTAAAGGAAGGTATCAAAGATTCAATCCTGCAAAACATGAGGAAAATCTTAACATTTTGCACACAAGAGTGGATGTGCTCAAGCTCAGTTGATGGATACTCCTCTTATAAAATGCAAGACACTTACAAAAATAATAGGGTAATAAACTGCAACATTTTGAGTTAGACTGAACTCCTCATCAGATGAAATGGTTACATGTGTTCATGTACCTCTTAACCTTTTGTCAGACAAACTAAAGGTGTCAGAAAGCCCCTTTGTAATACAAGCTTTACACAACGATTACAGCTATGGCTAACAATAAATTTTGTCCAAAGCATGAATAAGAGCTATATCAGTTGTGTAAACAGCTCAGAGTAAATCAAAGCATATCTTCAGAAAGAAAGAGGTGTTTTAATAAGCCTACCTGTAACAGTTAGACCCATACTGGCATGACTTTCTAGCACGTTTCTTTCTTTTAACTGGTGACGGAGTAGCTGCAGCTGGTTTTTGTCTTTTGCCAGTAGATGTCCCTTGTGTCTCATCATCTGATTCCAACTGTCTACTTAGGGCTTGGTTCTTCCTGGTAGGACTTTTGTTTTCCTTTTTGGCAACATTACTGGATTGTTCTACATCATCATCACTACTCGCATCACTCATATCATGGAGAACTTTGTCTGCATTCTTTAAAGGAGATTTATTGGCTACTGGACTCTTTCTGGGACTAGGGCTCTGCTTCATGGCTTTTCTTGGGGTGGTCTGGTTGGTCCTCTTCTGCCGATTGCTCTGGCCTTCATCACTACTTTCGTCACTCACATCATGGACCTTTGACAGCTTTGGTTTGGCAGGCGATTTTGCTTTCTTGGTTGGAGTAGTATCTTCATCATCCACTGCTTGTCTTTTAACCTAGAGAAATAATGCAGGAGATTATATACATATCAATATTATTTTCTAAAGAAAAACAAAAACAAAATTAAACTAACAGACATTAAATCATGGCAGAATCAATTAGATGAGCAAGAAATAAATGTACCTTTGATGGTGTATCTCCAGCAGCATCGGGTTGTTTGCGTTTTGCACTGGTTGTGCGTTTCTTGTCACCTCCATGTGTACTCTTTGTAGTCTGGGCACTCTCCTTTTCTTCAGATTTCTTTGGGCTGGCCTTTAATAGCCATGAGGGTAGATTCCTCTTTCTAGGCGATACTGCTGCCTGTATGTCCTTGAAGGAACAGAAAGAAAGTGATTGTCTTGGAGAGAAAGATAAAAGTCCAGAGCTTCATACAGTCTGTGTGATAATTTGGAGAAATATCATAAATGTATGGAAATTACCTGAGCAATTTTTTCTTGTGGAGAGGCACCTTCTGAACCATTTGAATCTTTAACATCAGCACAGCCATTGGGGACATCCTTAAGCTTTTCTTCAATTGGTTCTACTGCTTCCTTTTCTTCACCTTTAATGCTTTTCTCTACCTCATCCTCTTCCTCCTTCTTTCCTGTAACGTCTTTTTCCACATTGTTATTAATCCCGTTGCTTTCTTCTGCCTTTGAACTAGACTTCGCTGTTTCATCTTGCCCATTTTCTACTGTGTCTTTACTCTGGCCTGCTACTTCTTCCCCATCAACGTCCTTACTCGAGTTCTTGTCTGCTGATGTGTCACTGGGAGACTTGTCTTTCTCTGCATTGACACTGCTGAGGTTAAGCCTGTTTGCGTGAGATAGTAAACAAGAGCAATAACATTCCAGACCTCTGGGTGTTATAATTATAGTTGTATGTATTTCTGATATTCTATGAGCAACTGTGAAAAAGTAGTGAATTTCTTAGTTATGAAAAGAATGATGTTGAGAAACATTTTACTGAAATATAATTCAAGATGTTATTTACTTTAGTAGGTTTCTAATAACCTTGATATGTGGTTTACATTTGTAAAATCAGGCAAAAGGGCATAAATCAATTGTACCAAATCAATATTTTGAAGCATAGAGCTACTCCAGAATACAAGTTACATTAACATTTGCTCAAGCAAAAGGATGATACAGATTCCTCTATTATGAATATTTCAATCATCTTCACAATGAATTTCTCCTTCTTTTTCTTCTTCACTCATGAAACAGTGTGTACTAACCTGAACCAAAATCCATTCTGCATAAGCCCAAACTTGTCTCCATGTGAGAGCTGGGCCGAATCCCCATTTTTCAGCTCCTTCTCCTCACCTCCAACTACCACATAGGTGGGGTTCTGATGTGTCTGTAAAGGAGTTTGGTAAATTAAGAATGGCTATTGAACATATAATCTAATGTTATTAGTATCATCATCATCATTATGAATATCAATTTAATAAACACAATTTCCATTATCATCATCAACATCAATATTGCTATTATCATTCACAATCGATTACTTTTTCAAGCTTCAGTCTAATCACCAGGTAAAAGGAAAGGCATCTATTTCCTGCCTGTATCACATACGCAGTCCAACTTACTGAGGTTATTTGGAGATCATCGTCATCCCAGTCGAGGCAGGCATGACGTCTTGATAGCTTTCTCTCGCCACACTGAAAATGAATAAAATTTGTAATTATCAGATAGACAAGACAACATAGTAAAAGATATGCTTTTAATATCAGAGAGGGAAGATAACAAAGGCAAAGAGAATTCTTTTCATTCTTAAAACCTGAACACACTCTGTAATTCTGAAAATGTCCTACACATAGCCTTACATAACAAACAGAACCAGTACTAATAAGTGTAAACCCACCAAACTTGATCCTAAACTATCTGTTAACTGCATCAGTATTTGCCACAGAAAATGTGTTGAAACCATGAGTACCCTGGTGGAACCATCGCAAGTACTTTTCTATCTGCCAAATCTACTGCTGGCAGTTCAGAAGTTTTGCTTTATACACAGATACACATACATGTACACACACACACACACACACATATACATATATGTGCATATGTATACATATTTAAATAATTGTGTATATAAGAATATATCTATCTATATATATTCATATCTAAATAAACATACATATACATATATACATATAATCTCGTTATAAGAGTGCAATTTTATTGTTGATTTTACTGTTCATTTTGAGGCTTCCTTTCAGACCTCAGGTTGGCACTTCAAGGGCTCCACTACTAAATTAGTTGCATTTTCATAATTGCAAAATATCATAACAGTCCAAATAGTCATTTTGAGCAAAATACATATTTATATGTTTGAATTTATTACATATCCCATAAGACAAAAAAGAGACATCACACATCTTGCTTCTCCTAATTTCAGACTTTCGAGGAGTTTGAGTAGCTATAGTGTTCTCCCCTTCTTAAATACTAAATTAGTCTTTTAAGCCATAGATGCCTGTTTAATATTCAGTAATTGTCAAAGATATTTGCTTGGTTGTTCAGGACGTTTCTTCTCTATATATATTTTGCACTAGGAGAAAGAAAGAAAGAAAGAAAGAAAGAAAGAAAGAAAGACAGAGAGAGAGATTCTCATTTGTGTCAGGTGTCACAGATATATGATGCCCAGAAAAATAAATATGGCCAGCTGTCCCACCCATGTGACTCTAGATCGGAGATTGCGCTCTGATTTTGTCGCCCATGGTGGGCGGCGCGCGGGCAGGTTCCCATAAGCCCTGCACGCCAATTTTGAGACTGTCCGGAAACCGGGATTATCGGCTTTCAAATGGAACGTCGCTAGTGGGTTAATAAATACATGAGAATGACATTTTATGTTTTTAAGAGTTATAGTTCTTAAAACACGAATATCAACTTCAGTTATGCTTAATAGACAGTCCCCCTTAATGCTCTCTCTGAAGACCTGTCTGAAATTTCTGACCCAATGTTCAATGCAAATCTTGATATTATGGGGATCACTCCATGTAACTTCTGTGTGCATAAACATCCCACAGGCAATCAGGTAATTTGCCATTCATAAATTCCATAAGGAAGCCACACAAAGAAAATGAATCAGGTGAGGAAATATTATGATTTACATCTACAGATAAGATAACATGTAATATGTATTTCACCTTAAAATAATACGTTTTACATTTGTAAATTTAACGAAAACTCTTACATGTATTTTAACATGCGTAGTTTCTGTTTAAAAATAATCTGAGATTAAATGTGATTGTGCTAAAGGGTCAAGTTATGCCATTTCCAATTGTTCTTTTTAAAGGAAAACACCACATATTTCAAGCAATACTATTGGTATTTGGCAAAACTTTGTAATGTTTTCAAACTTTTCAACATAATTCTAATGGCTGATATTAGTTGCCAAAAAATATATTTGCAAAATACCAGGTGCCAATCACAGACTACAAACATGAGCATCCCATTAAAAAAATACTGGATATGACCCATATATTGCTATAAAAAATTAGTCCACGCACCACTGGGGTGTAATAGATGGAAATGTCCACAACTGTACATGTATATGCATATGTATATACATATGTATAAGCACATGAGTACATGTGCACATGTATATACATACATATATATACATACAATATGTGAGTAAATTCTAAAGTCAATTACTCTTTATTTTCAAGGGTAAGTTAATGATAATTATATGTAAGTTAAATATTTCAATGTTGGGTCATTGGTGTTTTTCTGTACAGTTCTGACAGATATTTGAAAATGATTTTCACATTGTTGTATCTTCTCTCTTTCTTTCTTTCTCTCTCTATTTTTAAGAAATCTGAGCCTAATATACTATAACAAACCTAATCTGACTAAACCTAGACTCATCTAAATCTAACTTGAAATATGCCTAATAACGACAGTGCTTCAACAGGTACTTATATCAGCAGATGAATTAATGTTAATAAGTTAGACACCGTAATTCTTATGCTGGACTAACTGTGCTACAATTATATAAGGTAAATGTGTCTAAAGGTGTTGTAAGGCCAATGTGTTTACTAAAAGTTTCATTAACTTAATTTTTCATTCATAACATCAGCATCGACACGTTTATGTTAATGCAATATCTTATGATTACAGTGGATGAATGTGAACAAATCACTGCTTATGTTTAAAAGGCAAGGTTAACCAACTGTTGCCAGGAAACCATATTGTTCACTATAGTATTTTGTGAAATATCTCAGCACATGTATAGGTCCACAAGTACTTAGCCACAAAGGAGTCAATTAGTAGACCTCACTTGATTTCACCTTTCCTTAAGAGAGTTTATATATATATATATATATAAATATATATATATATATATATATATATATATATATTATATATATATATATATATATATATATATATAATATATATATATATATATATATATATACACACACACACACACACACACACACACACAAACACTAAGGCTATCAATATTGATGTTGTTATTATCATGGTTGACTTTATAACTGTTGTAGTATTAATGACATTGCTACCAGAAATATAAGATACTAAAAAAATATTTCCAAAAATCAAGGAAAAGGGTAAACAGTCAGAGATATTTAGTACTCATAATTAGTACACAAGGGACATAGTACTTGTGGAGCCATCTATGTCTAAATACAACTAACCCCACAGAAGGTATGGCATATATATATATACAAATGCCATTGCCAGTGGCATCGGGTTGGAAAAAAAAAAAAAAAAAAAAAAAAAATTAGTAAACACATTGTCAGGCTACTGGTCTGAGAACATATATACTATAATAGAATACAAATATCAACCAGTACAAAGTTAAAATTTACCTTCAACAAAGATCCTCTCCCTAGTATAGCAGGAAGAGTCAGTGGAATCTTGAAATTACTCTGGTTAATAATTCTGTCATCCTCGCCTGGGCCTGCTATACGAACTATAGAGATGCTCATGCTGAGTTTCTGGGGACAAAATACAAAATCATATGTCAATATATACAAATTTTGCCAGTACTTAATGACTAGGCTGCAAAGTGTTACAAAAAATCAGGGTAGAAAATAAGAGGCCAGAAAAATAAAATATAAACAAATATTGCAGATTCAGTAAAGTAGATGAGGTATTTAATGTATTTTGTTTGAAACTTCACATTGTATGCCTATCTACATATTGTTAATGAAAATAAGAGGTATTGCTAGTACTTTTAAACTTAAGGATTCTCCCATACTTTTGAATTTACTTACTAAGTACTATTTGCCTACAGCAACTACTAATGGCAGTACCTCTATTAGATCTAGTAAAAAAAAATCAATGTTGAAACTGAGACTACAAACCATGTGTCTGTTCTATTCCAAGAAAACTGGACAAGATACTAGGCAAATCTTAAATATGTGACATTTTTTTGGACTAAAGGAAAAAATGAGACAGGTGGGCTAGGTAAGTGTTACTGCACTTTACTCCAAATGATTGTGAAATATACACTTCTCTGTCACCTGACATGTGATTTTGACTATTTTTGGTATTCAGTCGGGTCCAGTAAACTGTAAAAAGTGACTGGGAGCAGTGTAAGGGGGGGGGGGGTATTCTCCCACCTGCCCCCCAAATGAGGGGAGACTCACAAGTCATGTCTGTTGTTTCTGTTTAATTTTCAATGGTTTTGTGCTGACAAAAACAAACAAATGAGAGCAAATGTAAAGAAGATTCTGCTATGTTGGCCCGTTCTCCACACCAGTCAGCACTCCGACAAAGGCCAATGAAATGCCCAATGTATATTCTAGCAAGACAGAGCTCCCTGGTGATTTATCATCAAATAAGGGTGCAGTCCAAGCTATATCTTGCCAAATTATATGTGCTGGAAATTTGTTGGTCACTACAGAGGCTGCAACACTATACCATGAGTGTTGGCATCAAATTGCAAGCCATTCATCTATATTCAATTGGAAGAGGATGAAACACAACCAATGGTTCCATTTTAAAGGCCATTATCAATCTCTTCTAAAGATATACCAAGAAAAGTTTATCAGCATTCATATGCTACTTTTAAAAAATGTACAGGTTAGCCTTAAAAAGAATGTACAGGTAAGCCTACTCTACCTGTGACAGTCTGCCTACACAGCATACCTAATGATACCTCTTATCTCTTGGAACTTACTGAGCTTAACTTTTCCAACCTCTCTACTACCTTTGGTCCTTAAATCAAAACAGTGAAAATGCTAAACAAATTTTGGTAATATAAACACGTTCTTCTACATACCCATGAACTTACTGTATGGGAATGAAATGACCTGGCAATGTCCAGGAAATGACCATACCCTATGAAAAATATGATACAAAGATCCGACTCTGCACTCTATTCGACTTCTTCTCAAGGTCACAAGTTATGTGCATGAACATACGAGAAACACACCAAATGCACTCTACTGAACACTCAAAACATCAAGACTATAATAAATGCATTATAATTTGCTTGCAATTCTGAAATTCACAACATGAAAAGCACACAAGCACAAATAAGTGTCACCCGAGAAGATAGCCATTCACCATTTCTTTCCGTACGATTAGCAATGATCACCTTATCTCAGCAAATCAGCTGATACGTCCTCTCGCAGTAACTTCTCCCTCGATAGTAACTCTGTCTAGGAACTCGAGTTTTCCTTCCTCGTATTTCTTGTATCAACA